CACCTGGAAATGAGATAAGACGAAATACTCCACCCTGTTCAGATTGGAGAGTTTTTATGGTAGAAGATCCTAGGTCCTTTGTCCTTATTCTCAGGACTTTCATAATTCCCCTAAAGCTTAAACCTTTATACTTTTGATTCTGCCTTCATCCTCTCTATTCCAAATGCTTATTCTCTCTCTCTCTCTCCCTCTCCCTCTCCCTCTCTTTCTCTCCCTCTCTCTAATTTTTATTGTGATTTGGGTGAAAATTTACAGAGTAAATTCATTTTCCATACAGCAGTTCAAATGCTTATGCTTACCTTGAAGAGCTCAAAGCCAATGATGTAATTGTCGGGTCGTCCCATTCTGCGGTAAGTGCGCAGGTCCTTTTGCTGCAGTGACATGATGACCTTGTGCCCATCCTCAGGCACAGTGAAGATGTACTAAGAGAAACAGATCACCAAAAAGCTTACTTAGAACTTCCATTTCAGATGAGTCAGCTCAGATTTCAGGGAATAAAACTACATTGGGAAGCAGAGACTTGGGTGATTTTTCTGGCTTTTGCTCTTGACTAGACAATGAGGCTTTGGGTTACTAAGTGTAATCTTTTATTCACTAAGTGTAAATCATAACTCTTGCTTCTCCCTGTGGAATTCAGCATGGTTTGAGTGACAATTTCATACTTAGATCTTCAATACTGAAGAGGATATGCTTGGTTTTAGTAAGTTCCTGGTATGATCTTGTTTTCTTATTATTTCTCCTTGTTTTAAAACTATTTTTTTTAATTCCAGAATCCAGAAAAGCAGTTCTTGTTTGACTCAACCTGACACTGCAGCATCCCCCTGGGTTAGTTTCCTATTTCCAGTCCAGACATGTGGCTTGTGGAGGGGCTGGATCCACTTCCTCAGATAATTGATGCTTTCCTACCACCACTTTAGGGGAGTTGCAAACTTGTGCCAGAGACTTTCCAACATCATGCAGAGATTCGTGGTGCTACTGGGAGTTAAAACTTAAAAAACATCATTTCTCTCTGCCTCTGTCTCTCAGTTCCCTCTTTCTTTCCCTCTCTCTCCTTCTCTTCCTCTCTCTCTTCCTCTCTTTAAAAAGAAACAGAAAATATATGCAGGGCCATAGGTTCACAAGCCCCAAAAAAGTCAATCATGTGCATACACTTAAAGTGAAGCCCAAAGTGCCATTTCCCCAGCTTGTCTGATACTTGAGACATTTCCAAGGTTGTAAGTGTAAGTGAGATGGGAATAATAGGAGCTCTTTCTTTTCTTTGTGGACAATTGAAATAGAAAGGATGGAAGGAAAGTGTGAGTTAAGGAAAGCATGAGTTAAGTAAATCAGCCAACCAGCCTTAGCATCCTCCAAAATTCCTGGGCAATTAGGTCCATGATTAGTATCTTAGTTATCCAGTGCTGCTGTGATGGAAATATCACAAGTGAATGGCTTTAACAAACAGAAATGTATTCCCTCACAGATTAGGAGGCTAGAAGTCTGAATTCAGGGTGCCAGCTCTAGGGGAAAGCTTTCTCTCTCTGTCGGCTCTAGAAGAAGGTCCTTATCGCCTTTCAACATCTGTGAGCACAGAACTCCTTGGAGATCTCCATATGTCTTGGCGTCAGTCTTCTTCCAGATGTAGGAGGTTCTCAGTGCAGGGATTCCAGGTCCAAAGTACATGCTCTGCTCCTGGCTCTTCTTTCTTGGTAAGAGTAGGTCCCTCCTTCTCTGCTGGCTTCTCTCTCCTTTTACCTCTTGTGAGATAAAAGGTGATGTAGGCCACTTCCGGGTCCCCTTACATTGGATCAGAGCTGTGAGCTGAATAAGGGTGTTGCACCCCACCCTAATCCCCTCACAACTGATTGGCTGGTCATATCAGATCACATCTTAGGGTATAATTACATCATTACATAGCTCCCAAATTAAATCACTACATAACTACCAAACCCCTGAGAATCATGACCCAGCCAAGTTGACATATATTTTGGGGGGATGCAATTCAATCCATGATGGTTAGTAAGGCATCCATACAGTCAGGAGAATTATCTCCTGTGTGTTATCTCATCAGCCCGTTTGGGGATAGAGCAATCCAGGTCATTATAGATTCAGTCTCTGGACATTTAGCTTTTTTGCTTTGAGGTGTACCTGGGCTTGACCCCTAATGTGTCATGGAGTGTAGCAATATAATAGGAGGTAGACTGAATAGGATCATTGACAGGGCAGTGATTCAAATCCTGAGAAAAATGACCTTGTTCAAGATGAGGAAAGGTAAACAGACACAATGATAGGGTTCAAAGGTACCTGGCATGAAAAAAAGGATACATATAGTAAATGTGTACCCAAGAGAATAGTTAGGCAGTAAAGAGAAGTGAGGACAAATTAATTATCTCGGAGGAGACCCTTTCTCTACAATGTGAAATCATTACAAGGAAAGACAGGATGTCAAAGTACCGCATCAGGAAATGTGGCCAGGAGAGAGGCAGGCAGAGAAGGCAACTCAAATTTGATAATGTTGCCAAGGTATGTCTCTGAAAAAAGACATGGTCTCTGCTATGCTTTACAAGCATCCTAGCCCATTCCTAGGGATTTGGGTTGGTCAATATTACATAATAGCTACAAATGGAATGATGTCACCATTGAAAAATCACCCTTAATGAAATACTCCAGAGAAGACCAAGATGAGATCTGGTTTCCTAGTTTCTGAATAACTCAGAGGCAAAGAAAAAAAAAATGACTCAAACCTGGGGATTCTGCAGGAAGGTATCACGGTTGTTATAACATCCTCCAGAGCGGTTCATCAGGGGATCATCATCGACAGTCCAGCATCCTATCACTGATTCCAGCTCCTTGCGGCCAAAAACAGGTTTGCTCACATTGCGGCAGACATTCAGTTCATGAAAGTTGCGGCAAAAGTCCTCCAGGCTCATCCTGAATGGAAGGAGCACAGGAAAGAAATGAAGATGATAGTCAATACCTACCTTGTAGTTCCATGTAGAAACCCCAATATCCATAGCTCTGAAAACCTCTCCTCACCAAAACTCTCCATCATCAGACATAACAAGCCCCAGGGCCTTGCGATCCGCTGAAGTCAGTTGCTGCCATTCTTCAGAACTAAAGGAAAATAAAGAACAAAGGGTTGAGCTGTTCTTCTGGCCATTGGCTTTCTATAGTAACATGGTGCCAAAGGAACAGAATGCATGAGGGCTTGCTTTATGTCACTTCTGGCTGTGTCACAGGCCTGATGCCCGTCAAGAGCCTGCTGATGTGACTGAGCACTGAGAGCTCCTTAGCTGTCTTGAGGGTTGGACTTGGCAGAACCACAAGGCTTTGGGGGAAGTAGCAGTCAAAGTGGAATGCCACTTACATTTCACTCCAGGGTCCACTCCATTCCTGTCTTCCCAAGGGGTTCCTCAGACGAATCATGTACAGTTTCTCAGCACTGAAGACCTCCACAAGTCTATCTCCAAGACGGATCTTACGAATATCAGTCATGGTGTAGGTATGGCCCTTCAGTAGACCCCAATCAGTTTCAACTTCCTGTTCTTCCTGAGTGGGAGACTAAAAGCAAAGAAAGACACATACATTAAGGGCACAGGAATTAGAAGGCTCAGACCCTGGATCCCCTTCTTCCTTGATTGGTTTATCCAAGTATAGTTGAAGCTAATTTTCTGTATGCAGATGAAAATTTGATCCTGGCACCTAAGCTAACACAAAATAAGTGAAGCAAAGGAAATATAAAGAATGTACTGGAAAAAAAAAAAAAAACTTCACTTAAACAATTCCAATTGAAACTACCACAGTGGTGTATTGATATAAACATCATCAAATTTTGGTGGGGTTAGTTTATTCCTTGAGGAAACATTTGTGACTTCAACATGGAACAGAGGCAGAAGAAATCAAGAATGAGGGCTATTTACATCAGCTGAGATGTTGCATTGGCCCATAGATGGACAACTGGTACAAAAGGATGAAAAGTTTAAGCTCTTCAATCTCTGCACCAGAGCCTAATTTGTATGTTAGCTTTCTGAGTCTCATAATGACTTTTCATGGATTTCTGGGTTGAAGGCTGTCTGGAATTTCTACTAAAATTTGTAGTATCACCTGCCAGGCATGAGCACAGAGTGGTTGTTTCTTGGTGTGCACAAACCTCAATGGAGCAGCAGATCAGACCTCCTTTGATAAATGTTTTGTACAGTTCTCTGAACAGCTTGTACTTCTCCTCAACAAGCTCAGTGTATCTTCCCTTATGCATATCAATAGTTTCAGCCAACGTGCCAGTGAGGTCCACGATGATATCAGTGGTGGTCAATCCATCTAGGGCTTCATAGCAGCCAAGCAGCCTGGGGGTAAAAATGCAAGATTATCTTTCTAAAAGTATTTTTACAAGTCAAGGACGTGATGTTCCCAAGAATTAGGACAGTCCCTCCCCATCCTTTACCATCTGGTCTTTCTCTTGGTATGGAATGAGAGATATTGAGATTATAATCAGTGAATTCTAGGCTTAAGCTTTATTGATCAAGGATAAGCCATGCAGAAACTTCTTTCTACAGGTAGATATTAGACAAGGGGAAAAAGTGAAGCCATAATGCCACATGATACACAGATTAGCTGCAAGAAGAGGCACGTAGGAGAAGGTAGAGGTTTCATGGAATTCTGAAGAGCTGATTTCTCCTAACTTGGATTTCTGAGGGCCAGTCCAAGGTCCAAAATAATGTCTTGGATCTCACAGAAATTCTACCTAACTTAAACTCAGGGGTTGGGTTGGGAGAGAATGAGCTCCCAAGGATGAATGTAGCTTTCCTTTTTTCATGTGCCCTAATCATCGACTAGTCAGCCTCCCTCCTTACTTTGCATAAGCTTTTTCCAGTAGAGCATTCCAAAACTCATTCATGGAGGTGGAGAAAGAGAAGACCAGATCTCCATTGATGGTGGGCAGCAAATCATCAATCACCACCTCGGTCCATTCTCCAAAATGCCAGAAACGGAAGCGAAATATTCCAGCATATTTATTTGGTTTTCGAGGGTCCCATTCTTGTTCATTAGAGTTGGGGATTGTCTGGAAAAGTAAAGAAAATTCCATCAAATGTTATTCACCAGGCCATATCCAGACATCAATACAATTAATTCCTGGTAAATCCATGTGTCAACAGGAAGCCCACCAAAGATACCTGATTTGGGACTATCTTGGGAAATTCTAGGTAGAGTGTTTTGTTTACAACTTGTGCTTTCTCGATTCAGTTTTGCTAAGGATGTTATTATCATGACTGCCCTAAATGCACATAGAAGTACACAGGGTGGCTGAAGACAGCCAGTAAAGGGTTAAACAGTTTCTACCGTCAATATACCAATGAGATGATGATAACTGGACTATACAAGCATAGTCATGGCTGCATGTATAACTATTAAACAAAGCATTATACAAAGCAAAATCAATCAAAACACAGGATTTACTGTGCTCTAAATTTTTAAAGGGCCGTGCTATTGATTTCATGTATTCTTACTTTGAATAAAATTAAATTTAGAACATTCTACTTCTTATATTTCCTTTTTACATAACAATTGCACATTAATCTAAAATTATTTTTCAAGGGAAAATACTCTTTTTTCCCCAACCAAATTAACACTTCATTGTCTTGAACTATACCTGAGCACCAAAGGAATTTTTGTATTATTAATGACTTAGAACCTTAGAACCTTTTCACAGATCTTTTTCACAGACTTGTTTCCATCTCTCTCACCTTACTTTTTGTTCATATCTCTTAATGACTTCCTGGCCCCTACAAATTGTATGCCCCAGTAGGGGTAAAGAATAACAGTATGGAGAGTCAAAGAATTGAAAGTGGCAATACAAGTGAAGCATGGGGCACTTTTAGGGCAGTGAGACTGTTCAGTATGAGATTTTAATGGTGGACACATGACCTTATGTATTGGTCAAAACCATAGGGCTGTACAACACAAAGAATGAACACTAATGTAAACTATGGACTCTAGTTA